CGATGACACTTACAGACGTGGGATTACATGTGAGGACTTTAGTATTGGCGGTTGCGGTGAATTTGCCGACAGTAGTGCTTGAGTTGGGCACTCGTGCGGTCACATGAAATCCCTTAAAGCTTTTACTACGAGTGCCAGTGATGGTAACGGTGACCGTCTTATCGCCGTTGGCCAGTGCTTTGGCAGCGGTGGCCACTATAGTGAAGGGCGCTTTGCCTTTCGTTGCTTTGGTCTTCTCATGGTTTGGTGAATCGATTTTACAACTCGGGGCTCCTTCTGGATAGCAATTGCAAACTGCTATACAACACAACACTATTAATGGCAACAATTTCATCGTTTTTGTCAGTGTCTCACGAGTGAGTGTCTGGGAATCAAATGATTGATCGCTGGGACGGATAGGAAATGTATATTAAAAGGAAAGTATTGGTGTATTAGTGAAAATTAAGGCCAAGAAATTCAACAATGATTTTCAACGAATCAATTGATTTGAAAATTGACGCAAAAAAAGTCATTTGAAGCTTACCTTCAAATACAGGCACTAAATGGACGATTGAATGGATGAATAAATGAATTAATATTTCGGATTTCAATTAATCGGAAATCAAGGCTGAGATACGTAACCATTCATTTGATTTTTTTATTATAAGTTTTTATTTTAACAAAAATTTAATTATTTGAAAGAAGAGAACATAACATAACCTCAACTCCAAAGGAAACGATAAAAGTTTGTCCTCATTTTGAAAGCTTTACTGATTTGATAGCTTTTTTGTCTCCCTTTCTCTGGTTGTCTCAAACGCATAGGTAGTTGAAAGCGAAGCCAAAACTCGTTTGAAATGCGATCTTGAAATTAAAGTGAAAACTAAATTACAAACAGTTAGTTGTCCTCACAATTGACCCCTTATTTTACTTAACGATTATTAGCCTTTCATAAACACTATTGTATTTGATGTTTGTTTTGTAATCATTATTATTATCACATATTAATAATTATTACAACATTTAGTCTTTTTAACCACAATTCAAATGAAGAATGTGGTTTATAGGATCGTTCGGCCCCACCCTATGGGATTTAACATAGGACATAGGATTAAATGTTAATTCTATAACATAGACTTAACATGGATAATGTTATCCTATGGGAAAGCGAAATCTCAAAAGAAAGGGTAGTTTATCTCAATGCTAGTCCTATAGGACTAATGTTAAGTAACATGGTATATGGTAGGATGCTTTAACATAAGTTTTAATAGGATTACAGCTTAAGTCTACGACATAAGGACTAACAATTGGAATTTTCGGATTGCCCGACTTCGATTTTAATTTAATTGCGTTATTCAGAGAGTTTCGGGCATATAAAACACAACCATGTACTTTTTAAGCGATGGCATTCACTTTGGGAGGCATGAGAGGGGGTCATATATTTCATGTTTCTCATGGGTATGGAAATAAGATAGTCAGTTTATATATAGCTCTGTGGCCGAGTGGTTAGAGTGTCTGGCTACTAATTTGAATTGCCCAGGTTCGAGACGCCCTTGAACCATGTTTTATTTATAACTTTTTTACATTTTAATTTGTGTAATTTTTATTAATAAAAAAATATTTACAAATTTACTTTTTTTTATAAAAATTCATTAATTATTTTATAACTATATTACTATTTCAAATCATAGACCAGTAATGACATAAAAATGTAAAAAAGTTATAAATAAAACATGGTTCAAGGGCGTCTCGAACCTGGGCAATTCAAATTAGTAGCCAGACACTCTAACCACTCGGCCACAGAGCTATATATAAACTGACTATCTTATTTCCATACCCATGAAAATCATGAAATATATGACCCCCTCTCATGCCTCCCAAAGTGAATGCCATCGCTTAAAAAGTACATAGATGTGTTTTATATGCCCAAAACTCTCTGAATAACGCAATTAAATTAAAATCGGAGTCGGGCATCGGAAATATACGCATCGTAAGAAATATCATGAATCTCGGTATTAATCGTATGAAAATCCTCATCAAAATTACATTAAGCGAAACAAAAGCAAAAACATTTTACAAAACAAGACAAACAAAAATTAATATTAATTAATGAGAAAATAATTTGTTTCTGGATTATCGCAGAGAGTAAAAAGTCACCACAAGTTGTTTCATACAAAATAAAACACAGCAAAACTAAAACACCGTTTCAAAAATACTTTTCACTATTTCCTGAATGGTTAAAAAGTGCACTTTTATTGAATACATTTTATTCCCATACCTTTCCATCTCATATACAGTATATATAACTAAAAATGTTTATTTCATTACCTAAAATATACATTGAATTTAATTAAAAGTGATTTATTCAGCAAAATTAAGTGTAGCCTCAAAAATACACTGTACCAACACATCTAGCTATAAATATACAAAACTACAAATTACTTGTGGTTTTATAAGTGGACATAAAAAAGTGACATTTTTCACGGGAAACCCTTCAGTATTAATAGCGATATATATTATTTGCATTTGACTTTCAAATAGCATTTCATTAAAAAAATATTTCATTTCTACAGACATTTCTCGTTTGACATTACATTACATTTCCTTCAATACTATACTTGAAATACATATTAACCGCTAATAAAAGCTATAATTTATTGTATTATTTAATGTGTTTTACTCTCATATTTAACGTTATAACATAAATCAATGGTAAATATT